AAAATAAAAAATTTATATCTTTATGTTTGAAGCCTGAAATGTGGCAAAAGGTTGAAAAGTTCAAGGGGGCCGAATACTTTCGCAAGGCACTGTATATATTAAATACTGTACAAAACCACCCACAACAAAATCGAGACAAATTAAGCAAGCACAAATCTAATAAAATATCTGTGTTAAAATAAATTAAAGTCTTAAACAAAAATAAATAAAACAAAATTATAAAATTATCATCCAAAAATAACTAAAGAAGTCTGGATTGTGAAAACAAAATGGTGTTCAGAGCAAATTCTAATGTTGCACTTCTGCTGTCCTCCATATAAATCCTTTCCTGTTGTCTACAACTCTGAGGGTATCTTTTCTAGCCCCCCTCATTCCACCCCTACTGCACTCTTACAGCAGCTCCCCCGTTCATTCCTTGTAAGTGAGGGAGGTTGTGACAGTGCTGTCATTTCCGCATCCATATACCAGTTAACACCAAAGTATAAAGTACAGTACATATTCATTGGCTTGTTTCCTCATTAGTAGAAGTTGACCAAATTACTGAACTGAGCATTTCCAGTTTAGAAATAGGTAAATATTGTGCTGCCCTGATCCTTACTGTTGAAAGTTATCCCTGTTCTTGAATTTGGAAGAAATTCAAAGAAAGAGTCTTTGCCTCCAGTGCAAACATACTGTAGTGTGGACTAATACCCCCCCCAAAAAAAATATTATTGTTTAATCACAAAATATTAACAACTATTATTGAATTAAAATGTGTACATTCTAGTTATTCCAGGTCTTCTAGTCACAATCGAATGTCTGTGGTTTAATGCTCTCCAAAGACAAATTAAAGAGTGGTTCTGAAGTAACTTTTAATGAGCTTTAAGAATGATTCTCCACTACAGTTCATGAAGAACGCAGTTTAGCTCTGAACTGAAAAGGGTTCATACTCTGATTAAGCATTCCTTACACAATGCACTTCTTCTTCTTCTTCTTATCAGTAACTTGCAGGGTAATACAAGTGTATAAACCCTTTCATGGCTGATAAGATATTTCTACTTCATTTGCAAAACACTTCTGTAGCCAAAGTCATCTAAACACTAAAGTTTTATTTTCCACTTCTGGCTCTATAGTAAAATACAATTATTCTTGACACAATAGGCACATTTACAGGGTAAACATCTGGAGGCATTTTGTTATGTTATGATGTTACTGTATGTAGAAAAAATGAATAAAAGAGTGTTAAAGTAACACTATCCTACACATCCCAAATCTTACCAGCTACAATAATTGTCCATATTACAGAATGGTAGGCATTTTTATGAAAAAACAAATGTCTCTATTACAAATATCATGATGCATAATGGCAATATTTATTATTTATGACCATTTTTAGCTACTTATGCAGAGTACAAGGTAACATTGGCCTTATGATTGAATATCAGTTCATATTTCATTGTAAGTGTCAATAAAGAACAAAGCTGGAAAACATGGAGTTTATTACACTCAAGTCATATGATACTGGTAGAGTTTCTTATATAGACACTTATCAACGTTCTGTACCTTAGTGAATCAATCTCGCCAATATTCTTTTCTGTTTATTAATAGAAAGGGCCATTGTATTCTGGGACAACTAAGTGTGCTTTGAGAAAACCTGTAATCCATAGTTTAGTCAAAACATTTAGTATCACAGCACTATTGTAAGCTATAAATAGAACATGTAAGTAGACATTTTAGAAGGCTCTTCCACTAAAAAGATCAGCTTATTATAGGAGGATTACTTCTGGAAAACAAGGCAACTGCTAGCTTTTACAAAATAAATTATAATCAATTTATCTACATTAGTAAATGTAGATACAGTATATAGATAAATCCAATATAATTGTATTACAATGGCTTTTTATCTTACCGGTACGGGGAGCGGAAATAATTTGCACTGCTGAATCAAATGCAAGCTTTGTACTTACAAGGTGTATATACCAATTTGATGTATTCAAATTGCATGCAACCCTGTGATCTTGATAGGAAGCACGGAAAAGCTTAATGTGAACAGAGCTGTGTGTAAATAATTCAATACGATTATCTAATACTCCACAGTATAAATAGAAAAATACTTAAATATTTATACACATTTCCTTTTAGAATCATGCTAAAATGCAATCATTTATCTTATTAGTTTGCACCAGGGGCTAATTCTTTAATGTTGCACATCCTCAGTCATGCATTGCTTTACCATCAATACTTATTGTGTTGTGTTAAAACTAAAGCTGTTTGAATGATTTTAGATTTGTTGAGTGCTTGCTTTATACAGCTATAGAGTCTACATTTCTGTCCATCGGCTAATCAAGGCTTCGGATTTCAGTGTGTATCTCCTGATGAACTTTTTATAATCTATATTTGGCAAGAATTCTTTACATAAAAAGATGCAATGCTCAAATGTGATATTCAATTTTTAAAAAGTATTTTGTTATTGTTCAACCTTTGACCCCATCAAATTTGTAGCCATTTTTTTTCTTAATGTAGGCACCACTGACACCAGTGGGTTTAGAGATTTTAACTTTTAAGACATATTTTATATATTCCAGTTTATTACAGGCTGCAAAATGTTGTTTTAACATAGTCAAGAAGACTAAAATCATAATAAAATAACAACTTCCTTAAACAACCTTCAATTAGGTCAAATATTATTTTATTAAAACTTTAAATTTAAATGGTGAGCATAGCACCTGTTTTTTTTTTTTGGTCAATCATTGCTTTCTATGTGTTTCTAAGCAATATGTCAAGTGTGCAATATACTATTAACAGTTCGTTCTCACAAATTCACCAGTAACTCTACAGCAAACCCGTCAGATTTTCACACTAAATAATCGGTATTCCATATTTTCTAATAGGAGTATAAAAAAAATCTTATGTATCAGGGATTCTACATTACATTTCCAGAATATATGACCTATATAATGTTATACTTCATAGTGAAACATCATATCTTGCACTGAAAATGCATGGGGGTCTTATTAAAATTGTAAAGGTACAAATATGCTCGTTGAACTAACTCACCAGTGGTTTCCACGATTCCCTCTAGGATGACAACAATTTCAAACTGTTCAGTTTGCATTGATCTCTGGGAGAGGTCGTAGAATGGACTCTTGGTGTCGATCACATGGCAAATTGTAAGGGGGGAAACCAGAAAAAGCTGATCTGCCCCGGTGCTAAAGCCCACATCCAACTCTAGTTGATCCAGCGGGAGAAACTCGCCTTCAGGCGTCTGCCGAGACTAAGCAAGCGTGCAGAGAAAGGGGGAAATATCAGCAAAACCACGGCAATTCAGCAAGCCATGGTGACAGCAGATCACATTTTGTCAGCATTTCATGCAATCAGTCATTTGATATACACAGAGAATATAAAGGCAATGAATTGTGACTTTGATCTCTCATAAGGAATACTGTATAAAGTGCGTACTTTTAAAGGGTGTTACAATAAACTGAACGAGGAATCATTTTCGAATTCGTTACATTAGTTAATTGGCAAAGAGCTCAAACACTTAAACGACTCCAGACAGAAAAGGGGAATTGTGTCATTATAACTTTGAAGTTAAATATATTGTGTACATATTACAGATAAGCGAAAACTTAAAAGAGTTTTCTACAAAAGGAGCATAAAGTGTTTCTTTTAAGTGCTCTTTTATAAAGATTTCCCGAATAGGGAAAGATTTTTTGTTTCTGGTACAGTATCTCGTAATGTGAGAATTTTATTGGATGTGATTACATCAGCAAAAAAAAAATTAATCAAGACAATGAATAAAACATGAAATGATATTATATATGTGTAAAGAAGATTATGATGTGCCCTATTTGAATAATTTCATAAGCAGTAAGAAATTATTAAAAAATCAGTAATGGCTGATCTGAAATGTGTGCATGCCAAACATCCTAGCAAATTTAAGACTGACTTAAGTGAACTTTATGGACTGTAATTGTTACTCTGTTGTAAACAGCAATAGCATTGTATTTATGTGCAATGATATACAGTACTTATCGACTCAGTCACCCTTAAGCACAGACTTTACTGTAAAGATTTCAGTGACACACAAAAGGCTACAGAAAATGTACAGCGCCACTTACTTTAAGCAATTTGCAGCGAATCTGAGCTGAGACCATATGGCTATTGCGCAGGTTGCCGACTCTGAACATTAGAGTCAGTTTCCCATCTCTCATTGAAATAACTGCATGTTCACTAAACATCAAAGTCTCTGCCCGTTTTTTGGGCTGAGACATCTTAATGAACATACAGCCGATCAAAAAGGCATCTACGATGGATCCAAGGATAGACTGAAAAAGGAATAAAATGATCCCTTCGGGACATTTGTCTGTGATATACCTATAGCCGTAGCCTATTGTAGCTTCTGTCTCGATAAAGAACAAAAAAGCCGAAGGAAAGTTGTAGACGTTGGCTACACACGGTGTATACTTGTCATCATGAGCTCTGTTGAGATCGCCTCTTATGTATGCAATGACCCACCACATCGATGCCATGAAAAGCCACGCTACAGTGTAAGTCAGGATAAAAATAAATAAATTCCAGCGCCATTTCAGATCTACTAGGGTAGTAAATAAATCCGAAAGGTATCTGCTTGTTTCACTTCCAAGGTTACCATGTTGGACGTTACACCGCCCGTTCTTATCAACAAAACGTTGTCTCTTCCTCTTCGGTGCAGGGTGATTAAATCCAGAGCCACTGGATGAAGTGGTCACTACCTGGTAATCGTCCCCAAATTTCTTTCGAAGTGCAGACATAATACGATGACAGCAGCCAGAGTAATGGTCCTTAGGATTCAATTTGCCGTCCTATTTATTTTCAGCGCCTTAATTAGACTTACAGTACAGTTCTCTCTGGCTTTTGCACGCTCTTAATAGTTACTAAAATGAGGGAAGCAGCGAGTTGCTGAACTGCTCGTTATGGGTTACCTTTAGTATTTCTTCACGCTACAGTTATTAAACACGCCGAAAACTGAAGTGCTGAATCGGTTCAACAGAGAGACCATAAAAACAAAATAACAAATCTCAGCTGACAATTTTCTCTCAGTACAGTAAGCGAAACAGAGAAGCAATGGACTTGCTGCCTATAGGGATGCATCACCCGCTGTTACAGCTTTGAACAGTACGCTCTTCTGAGAGCCAAAGATTACTCATCAGCTCTTCCCCAGGTTGGTACAACACAGGTTGGTTCAGGAGTTTGAATGCTGAGTTTCTACAGAGTCCATACCTTCAGTTTGAAGTTGTAAGCGTTTTAGGGCTTCATCAAGCAAAAGGTTTCCTTCAGTAAGAGATCCAGAGAAATGTCAAATGCAATTGTTTCGATGAAACGGTCTCATACTTCTGCAGCGAAAGCTCAGATTTTATGCGTTGGTGTTGGACATGCGTCGGTTCCGAAACCTCTGCTTCTTTTCTGGGTTCATATCATAAACATGGACGGTGTGGTAACGGCTTTAGAAATCTTGTGTGGTCTTGAGGAGAGTTGCGCTGTTTGAGACCGCCAGGTGCTGAAGCGGGTTTTTTTTTTTTGGAATCAGCGTGAAGGTCTTCTTTCAGGTGAAGAAAAATGTAGAAAAGGCTGCTCAGTTTTCTCAGGCTCTCCCCCTCCTCAGCTCCTGCGCACTGAATGCTCCTCCTGCTGTGAAGTGCTGCTGTGCTTAGCCTTGTGGTACCTAAAGACTGATCTGCAGCACCAGCAACGAGGGCAAGAGAAGCATCCTCTCTGACAGCCAAAATGTAGAATTATCACTTCACAGTGCGATCACTTATTATTGCAGTATCCAGGTCGACCTTAAAAAAAATTGCTAACTGTATTGATAGAGAACGAATATATTTTATCTTCCTGTTCTGACGCATTGTGGTGATATTTGGAGGATTGACTATGTTTAATCTCTTTGTTTTCCCGTGCTTTAATACTGCAGTTTTAGCGATTTGTGATGTACAGTATAAGCGTATCAAACAAGGAGACCGCATCTTTTGTTAATATTGTAAGCAATATGTGGAATTTACAATAGTAATGCATTAAGACACCTTCTAAGAAAACACAATAAGAAATGATGTAATGCAGGATGTGCTCTAATAGTTATCTGAGCACGTGCTGTTTTTGTTGACTAAAAATAGCTTAGCTTTTACACATGATTACACTTTATGCAGCAATTACTGTCTGCCCGGCCCCCAAAATTGGGTTTTTCTTTAATTAACGATGAAATGGTTATCTAAAGAAACTTTGAAATATTCAGAAATATTCAAAAATTGCTTGTTCTTTGACCTGCAACAAATCACTAGTGTAGACAAAAGAAACAAAAGAAAAGGTATGTTTTCATTCTGTTCTTTCTTAGAGCTTTTTGTTTCTTATCTGCCCATGGAAAAAATACATCCATGCTAAATAAATAATAAAAATAGATGTTTTACATGTAGTGTAGGTTTTAAAATAATAACAAAGGAACTAGAACAAAGAAAAAACACATCTTGTTTAACATTTTTTTTTAGTCTAGTGGAAAAAATACCACACAATCTAATCTGTACCGTATTGTTGATTTTGCAAATTACCGTATGTGCCCTAATACAGAATATTAAGATCTGATACATATCACAACTTATGTCAGATGGATGATAACAAAAATCCATAATATACAGTGTAAAGAATATTATATTTTAACATACAGTATATATTAGTTTATTATTTTCTTACTGCTTCATTCTGGAATGTGTGTGTATGATTATTAGGCTTTTATGGAGCTTTTATATTCCTTCTGTTAAAGTGTGAAACAGACATTTTGCTCATACTTTAAGTAAAGTTAGAAGAAATACTCTCAGAGTCCATTCATTTTTAGCTCATCTTAAATAGCTACTACTAATTACTGTAAAGCTTTGGGTGTACTTAAAGTAAAATAAGCACTGGGATAATGAAGGACAGAATACAATAATCCCCTTGAACTAAGCATCACTATATGACATTTTGTCATTTACTGTAGCTGTCATGCAAGAATTTAATTTGCTTTAGTTACATGTCTGTACATTATTGTGCTGGTGTAGGTCTAAGGGCAGTGCATACAAAATAACCTGTGATGCCCTTGATGGACACTGTTATACACTGATTGGACAAAATATAAATTAACTGCCATCTAAACCTGACAATCTATATCTCTTGGCACATTGTTCTTGCACAAACAGCTGTGGTTTGCCCATTGTTGACATTTCTGTTAATTGGACCAGGGGAGCCCTTCTGCTGCTTGTCACAATGTGTCTCTGAGCTCAGTATGTTATTACCAGCTCATGACAAGAGCTATACCTTTGGTTGATCACACTGTAAGATTGTCCTGATGAATATATCAGTCAATAATGGTCAAAAAGGTTAATGAAGTTCCCATTGCAAGAAGTAATGATTATGCTTTTTGTAGCTAAAAGTGATTCATCTGGTTTTCCTAACATTTCCATATCAGCTGTATATAATTTCTTCACAGCTTACATACTGTAGGTACTGTATAGTGTGATACATCTGGGTAATTGCAGTTTTCTTATTGAACATTATATGGATTTCCTTACTTTATTATTTATATTTATCAAAGTAATTGGCTACATTGTATCATTATCCAGGTATTTTTGAAAGACAAAGGGGTGTCTTATATTCACAGTGATTACAGGTTTTATATGATTATATAATATTTTTCATGGACTCAGATTAATTCTTTGTAAATGTGCATAATATTCATGTTCAGCAGTTAAAACAAGATATGTCCTAAATAATCCACAGTCAAATGCAGAATTGTCTCAATAAAATCATTTAAAAAGAACTGAAGAAATGTTATTTAATATATGACTATATTAATAAATGTAAAACAAAAACCTGTTTTTCAGGTTTAAAATGAATAATATTAAAAGACATTAAAGTATAGAAAGTTATCCGAAAATGAAAATTACAAAATGCAACACAGAGCAATATCATCTGTGTTATTCCTAAGGAAGACAGGATGATGGATATAACTCACTTGAACTCCCAATTATCTCTGGTCAGTTCCCCTGTGAAGCACATTTTTTTGCTGTTTCCTAAATTACCTTTTTACGGCTAGAGAAAAAAAAAACCATAGCTTTCATAATCTTTATTGAAAGATGACTGACACAGAAATATCATCTCTACCCACTGACTGCATGATGTGGCTCCTGGGAGCAAGCTCTCTGATCTCTTCTTTCCTGGTGGTACTGTATGAAGATTTCTGTTTAAATTTTTAGGACAGGACAGCTTACTGTGTACTGTATGTCCATTCCCTCTGATTTCAACACATGGTGCTCTGCTACACAGTCATTCCTAGGGCTCATACACTGTGAGCTCCAGGAGTATTTTTATGTTGTCGGGCTTTTCCTTCTGTATCCCGCTGCACATTAAACAAACACCCAATTTGTCTGAAATGCCTTGTTCATATCATACATTGATTTATATAAAAGGGCTTAGTTCAGTGCTTTACAAATTGTTAGTACAGTAATTAACTTTATTGAACAACTTTAGATACTGTATATTCTGTAGTGGTATATAAATGTAATGCTTTATTGTTATTATTCATAATTACATTATTTAACACTACAAGTATGTGTCTTATGTGTTACTATGGTGTTCATCATTAAGTAACCAGCAAACAAGTGTTTCTAGTATCATTACAGTCAGCATATTGAATTAATTGGAAAACCCAATTGGAGGTTTCCACTGCATGGTACACCTGATCATATTATAACTGAAACTTAACTGTTACAGACAGTAAATAATGAATTTCCTTCAGTTAATGAAATACATGTTCACATATTTAGCAACAAAAGTTCATTATTTACTAAATTTAGGCCTGTTTCCTGGATTGGGGTTCACTCTTAATGATCAATAGTAGGCTAAATGAATAAGCCTGATTATATTTGGCCACATTGAAGCTTTTAAGGTTCTGCAATGTCCTATTCATGTTGAAAACGTCTAGACTGTATTCTTGAAGGAGAAAGATTTATCAGATTGTTTAACTAATCAATGTTATAACGTACTATATACATAGTAGTTTCAACTGGGCAACTACTGTACTTCAGCCTGTGTTGGCTGCAAGGGAACAAATAAAGGTTAATTCCGCTGTGAAAAGTAGAATCAAGAAGCACAAAGTTTCAGCTATTGAGCCTTCTTCTGAATGCTTAATTCTAATATTTAACAGTAATAATTATGATCCCTTGCATTTAGGATATATCATATACTGTACAGTAATAATAATAATAATTGCTTGCAATTATATAGCGCTTTTCTGGACACTCCACTCAAAGTGCTTTACAGGTAATGGGGACTCCCTTCCACCACCAATGTGCAGCATCCACCTGGATGATGCGACGGCAGCCATAGTGCGCCAGAACGCTCACCACACATCAGATATTAGTGGGGAGGAGAGCAGAGTAATGAAGCCAATTCAGAGATGGGGATTATAAGGAGGCCATGATTGGTAAGGGCCAATGGGAAATTTTTGCCAGGACACTGGGGTTACACCCCTACTCTTTTTGAGAAACACCCAGTACCTACTGTACTACATATGGAGTGTAGGAGATGGCTCACTTCTTCTAAGACTTTAGTGTAGCACTTACCTGGGTGATTTACTGTACACCAACCCCACTGCATAGCAAAAGTAACAAATTACTTAAACAACTGCATTAAGAAGCAGATACAGGCAGGCATTTTTTGTGCCAGCCAAAAGTGGAATTAAGCTGGGACTAGTGGGTAACACCCAAGCTCATTCAAACCGCACCTTGAGATTTTTAATGACCAAGCAGACAAAAGATCAGACTGATTTGATTTTTTTAGGAGTCTGATTTTCTTTTATAGCTCTCTTATCCCAGTATTAACCAGGTCCCATCTTGCTTTTCTTGTGAGATCTGATGGAATCAGAATAAGAATGAATTAGGTTATCCACAAATTCTCCAAATCCTTTTTCTTCTACACAAGTCAAATATTTATGTTTAATCAAACTAAAGCTTCAGTTCAGAAAATGATACCTACTAAAAATGGCAAGTATGGATCATTAATTCTAATGAGTAAGGTTTATTTTCTCAAGATCTTAACTTCTTGGTAAAATATATATATATGAATGAATAAAATAGATGTAATAAGCAACAAAAAGGAGCTTGTGTTATTTTTAGTGGACAGGATACTTTTTCTGTTCAATGTAAACCCAATAAACTGAATAGAATGGTTGCGCTGGTACAGTACTTACCAGAAATATTACGAGCTCTTTTTTTTCCTTTTACAGTAAGACAGTTTCCTTGTGTTGTCTTTGTGATTTGGCACAAATGTGCAAACCAGGATGACTTATACTGTACGTGTTTTTCCATACTCTACTGTAGGTCAGATCCCCACAGCAGGGTCAGTAAGGAATCACAGTGAGTGCAAAAGAAGCAATAGTTTGTTATGTTCTCATCATGATCTGAAAAGTAATCAAACATTACATTTTGCAGTTTATCACCTCACCCGGTGATGCAATCAGAATTTAACCTCATTGGCTGGAAATATGAGCAATTTTGATACATGCTTCTTTAGTGTCTGCCTTTTTTCCTCTTTGTGTGTGTCTTTGAAAAAGCAATGTCAGAGAGCAAAGTGTCTGCAATGTGCTGCACAAAGTGTGAAGGGAGCAAAAGGAAGTGAATGATGTGAGTTTTGGAGTAGTCAGAGAAATAACTGAAGTTTTGAGAAGTTTACTTGAGAGGAGAAGCTAGTATCCAGTGTAGTTACCCAGCTGTGATTTAGAGGAGAACAGCACAAATTAGCTAGAGCTCAAAGAAAAGCTAAGGCTTTTGGTTTGTTGTGAGGTTTTGTTTTGGCGTGTATCCCCACACTGTCAATAAGAGATTACTAATCTTTTATTTCATGGCTGCCTGAGTGTCTTTGTTGTACCTGAGATCCATCTCTTTAAAGATCCTGTTACAGCATCCCACCCCTGAGTGTGCTAC